GTAGTACTTGTTTCAGGGCGAACCGCGTACTTTCAGCGTGCCACCCGCGTACCAATTGCGGGCGACGCGCGGGACCGGTGCCCGCTCGCACGCTAAGGGCACGCGGGTGGCCCGCAACCGTCGTCTGAGTTAAGCCCCCTGCGTGCCAACCTCGCGTGCCTTTGGTAGGCGTGGCAAAGCACCTGCCGTCCATGTACCCTTAGGCTTGAAGTGATAAAACATGTTGCTTTTTATGTGTGATAGCGTGTTCTCGCAAATACTCAGACAACGGTTGCGGGCCACCCGCGTGCCGTTAACGTGCGAGCGGACACCGGTCCCGCGCGCCGCCAGCAAATGGCACGCGTGTGGCACGCTGAAAGCACGCGGATCGCCCTGAAGCATCTTATTAAACTTTACGGTTGGACCTTCCACGTCCAAAAATGAGAGCACTAATCATGATTAAGGTTGAATTCCTTATTCCTGCCAGGGCAGGAGGTGGCAGAAGTCAGAAGTTTGCCATGTTGAAAAATGCAGAAGTGCGAGGTTCATCGTAGCGATGGAACAGCTTCACCTCTTCGAGACCATATGAGCAACAGCCTTAAAGGGTTGAAGACTCCCGCTTTCCAAATTCACCTGGCAACGCAAAGACGTCATTCTATCTTGTTCCGTACAATAGACAGGCCCACTATTGAGAGCCTACAACAGAGTAGTGAACTACTCACGATAACACGTTATCACCAATAGCACGTAACAACACGTATCGCTCCTTCAGGGCGTAGGGCAGCGGATGGCTCATACCTTTACATGGTAGTACGCGGGTGGCCCTCTCTACCACGCGCCTCGCCCGGCATTAGGTCAGCCCGTCATGTAACGTACGAGGAGGGCACGGTGCTTTGCCAGCCCATAAAATGAGGCACGCGGTTGGCCCGCACGGGCCTTAAGGAACGCGTGTGGCCCGCAACCGTTGTCTGAATACTTGTTTTCATTCATTAGTGGATTGTAGGCCTTCTTACGGTTAGTAGCATGCCTTTTGTCCGAAACAAGACAGACTGAGGTATCGTCTATCTCATTCGAACTGAGCCCTATCTGCAGCATAGAAACGTGGGCGCCAACATGTCACCCACGCTTTCCGCATTGGAAAGCGTGTCTTGGCAAAGGCTCAAGAAACTGAACCAATGGAGAGAGGAATGGGAGCAGAAATCGCAGTCGCTCCGCGCTACTTCAAGAGTTCGCTTGCTAGCATCTGACGTAAGCAGAGATTGGACGGTGTTTTCTGTTTTGCCGCGATATGGAGTTTTGCTCGCACAGGCCGCGCTTTGTGGTCGGCTCAAAGCCGGGTCATCCTCAGCGGTGCGATCACTTCTAGAGAAGCGTGCTTCCGTGGCGCAGTAGGCAGTGCGTCAGTCTCGTAATCTGAGGGTCTTGAATTCGAGCCCCACCGGAAGCAACTGTTTTGGACGGCGTTTTCTGTTTTGCCGCGATGTAGAGTTTTGCTCTCATAGTCCGCGCTCTGTGGCCTGCTCAAAGACGGATCATTCTCACGAAAGAACATATTCTGATGTACACTATCTCCAGCAATGGGGCCAAGACTATTAGAAAGCTCATGGCTAGTCTGTATACAGAAGCAGTATATAATTCCTGGAGTTTTCTTTTAAGCGGTAGAAATAGCTAATTTTATCATTTTGGAATGAACTAAGATAAAGCGAACAGCAAGAATGAGCAAGCATTGAGGCATGGTTCAGTGGATAGTGTGTTCTATAGTTCAGGAAGTGAAAGGTTCGATTCCTCGCTCAAGCCGTTTTTTGCAAACACTCTAAAACTTGCGGTACTGTCTGTTCTGTGACTTTAGTATATAGCAAGATCTACGGCACGAAGTATTAGGTATGGCAAAGAGAAACAGACTCTGGCGAATGAAAGTAGTTACCGAAAACCTTAAAGAAAGCATACGCGGAAAATAAGGTTGGTGGAGTTTGTACACTGGACAGCGAGGACGTCCAGATGAAGAGAGCTTTGGAAGTTAGAACCACGAATACCCGCACTAAGCCAAGAAAAAGATCAATCTGTTAACGGCTTTGAATTCAAATAACGATAGGTCAGGATACAGTTGATTTTTGGAGTACATATGTAGCGCTTATACTGCAAGTTTTAGAGCGCATGCAAAAAAGCGACCTGACTGAGGAGCCGAACCCTCCATTTCCTGAACTACAGGCTAGCGCACTAATCACTGAAACATGCCTTACTGGCTTGCTAATGTTTGCTGTTCGCTTCACTGTAATCCATTCAAACCGCTTGGAAGAAAATTGCAGAAATCGTACATTGCTCCCTGCATATAGACTGGCCGTGAGCTTTCTAATAGCTTTCGTCTCGTTGCTTGATATGGTGTGCATCAGAATATGCCCCCAGTAAGCTTATCCTACAGGGGTTCGAAGTAATCGGGAGTGATGATGGCAAAGGAAATATCACCGACCAGCTTGCCAGCAGTTCTATTCCAAAAAGCTGTTCATTCTCGTTTTCTGAAGAGACAGAAGGTGTAAACAATGTTGATTGTGAAGCCTTAAGTCTGCCTAATTCGCATATTCGGAGATCCGACGGTAGTAGCAAGCATTAGTGTCAGCAAATGGGTCCTCCGCCTCACCTCCTCCGTCTCCCCACATATCTTTTCTGGTTTTATCATTCCGACCAAGCCTGTACGCATCCTCAAACGTAGTCAGCTGTTTCTTACTCCCTTCATAGGGTACTTTGTCGAAAATCTCTCTATTCTCAATATTATGATGTAGCAAATTAGTGTGGACTGAACGCAAAGACTGACACATGTCACTTTAGCGAGACCTTAGATACTCCTTCTGGTATGGCTAACATAAGCTGCTGGTGTTTGCAAATGTTTAAATAGATGTGAAGACTGCGGAACCACTTGAAACTGCCGCTATACAAAGGCAGAGTTTTGTGCTAGCCCATCCAGAAAGTGCACCTAAAATCTGACTGAAGTGACGTGTGTCAGTCGCTGCGTTTACTCCGCACTGATCGGCTGTTCATAATATTGGTGGGGAGATATTCGACAAAGCATCCTATGAAGTGCTTAAGAGGCCGGTGGCGACGTTTGAGGATCCGTGCTGGCCCAGTCGGAATGATAAAACCAGAAATAACCCGCGGGGGATGGAAGCGATGAGGTGGAGAAGCCATCTGCTAGTACGAATGTTTGTTACTGCCATCATCTCTTTACAGTATGCGAATTAGGTAGACTTAAGGCTCCACAATTAACATTCTTTGCACACTCTTTCTCTTCTGAAAACGCGGACGGTCAATTATTGGCTTGGAACATTTCTTTTGTCACCCCCGCAGCCGATTACATGATCCCCGGTAGCATAAGCTTAGATACGATGTTCTAGCTCCTCCTTATCCCCTTGGATGAAACGTAGTAAGTACTCAGCGTTTTTTTTCTGTGGTTCCGCTGGGGAAAACAACAGGGTTCAGAATAGTCGTTTTCAGCTGTTTTCTTTTTAAAAAATTTTGAAAGTCCTAATACGCACGATCAACCACTGCGCATTTGCAACATTGCTGCATCCTAGAAAAAGTCATAAAAATTTCAGCGGAACTGGGCAGAAGTATAAGAAGTTTTTGCCAAAAAACCAAAAGTTCATATCTTTTTGGCCGGTACTGTATGTATATTACTCTCAGTTTCAGAGAAATGTGGTGGAAGAATGAAATAAAGAGGTTTCAAAACCTGCAAAGTGAAACGGAGGAACAACTTTTTCGCGTTGATTCAGAACTACGTGAATCAAAGTGCAAACTAGATGCATTAATGGAAGAGTAGGTTCTTATTTTATAGACAATGCTATTTAAACACGCTGCGCGAAAGGAGCGGTGGAGCTAGGAGTGCGGGAAGGGAATGGAAGGGAATTGAGGAGAGCTGGCAGCTGATAAACTGCTGTGTCTGTAGTCCGTCCACAGCAATGGTGCTGAGTTGATGGTTTGTTTAATTGCTTACTAGTTGCGAGTTGCGAGCCGGTATCACTGGAGCAGCGAGCTCAAGAGGCTTAGAAGAACTTAATGTCCGCAAGGGACATCGGCACCAACTCCAAAATCTGCATTGATTTTAAG